AAAAAAAAAAGAAAAAAAAAAAAAAGAAAAAAAAGGAGAACACACTAAAGACTAAGAGGTGCTGGTGGACATAGAAGGAAATTTATCTAGCAGGGCTTCATATTAGTACTCTTTTGGCACCATTTTGAAAATGCATCGCAAAATTCAGACTGGTTAAAAACAAATATTCGTTGAATTATCATTTTATTTCAGATTAGTCTCAGAAAAAAGCAATTATAAGGACACCGTAAGAGCAAAAATCTGGTTTTATACCAATATCTTTATATAAACTTACCTTCAGTATCCATCTTACCTAATTTGCATGGCTTTTGAATTCGTGTTTGCTCGTGGCATTTAACTGAAAACAATGACAAGTAGGAATGTCTATCCTCCATGTAAGCATTTTTAGTTTGATAACACAGTAAACAAAATAAATAGTTCGGCATACAATTTGGAACAAAAGAAATTAGGTGGCTAACTTGAATTTTTGTTTAGAGTTAGACCACTAGCTTGACAGAAATATAAAATTTCGCTCAGTGTGCGTGACTAACAATATTTTTATCCTGTCAAGATATTCTGTGATTCTAAAATTGATTAACTTGTTTGATCATAGTAGAAATCATTGATTGAGGATTTGAAATCCAAATCCATGTACCATGTGGAAAACATTATGCTTTATTAAAGATAAAGGAGACGTGTTGATCAATTAACAACGCGATCTCTCGTCACCAATACTTTCTTCATTGCCTGCTAAAAACCCATATTTTGAATGATATCATTGTACATATTCTCGATTACATATTCTCGATTGCAATGGATGGCTCCTTAACACATAACAGCAGTGAAATTGACGAGGCCTCTTCCTCTGTTAGCCAAGAAATTAAAATTGCAATTTCAGAAGATGAATTTTCCCAAGAAGATCAGTACTTGGATGAGAATCGAATACCTAGAGTTCCCCATCATCTTCGATTCAGAAAGTTACAAGAGGAGGAGGATTACTACACTCCTAAGATGGTTTCATTTGGCCCTTATCATCATGGCTTACCTGAACTCCGTGTGTCAGAAAAATTCAAGCATGCAGTTCTGCAAAAATTTGTTTCAAGCATCTGTGCGGACATCTACAACAAGATTTTTAAAGAAATCGACCAGGTTAGAAATTGTTATGTTGGAATTTCTAAAGAAAAATATGACGATAAGTCGCTGACAAAAATGATGCTTTTAGACACATGTTTCCTCATATATCTAATGAAATTTCGGTTGAAACCATCAAATTATCCCCTCTTTACACAATATCTTGGAGTTTCTGGCACATCATTGGCTTTACGGGATACATATTTACTCGAGAATCAAATTCCATTGTGGCTGATTAAAAGCTTGATAAATTTAATTGACAAGGACGTGGAAGAAGAATCAACATTAATTTGCAATTTTTTAGGTATAATTGCTTTTGAGGATAAAAGGCTTGAAAGCATTCCTCGTAGAAATAATAAGGAACCACTTCATTTACTGGATGCATTTCTCCTAGCATATGTCAATGGATCGAATAATGCAAGAGAACTTGTCCAACCATTTTCTAAATGCATATGGCAGCACCGATGGCTGTGTAAGAGGAAAGAAAATCAAAATGATTTGGAAATGATCAATAGTCAATTTCGTTCAGTGACTGATCTCAAAGCAAAAGGCATCTACGTAAAACCAAGTTCACACTGTTTAAAGGATTTTAACTTCGAATCCTACACATTTTCTGGACGACTTCAGCTCCCTATTTGGTATTTCCGTTCAGATTCCAAACGATTCGTCACAAACATAATTGCACGTGAATTAACTATGGGAACTAGAAGCATACATACATTGAGTTATGTTAATTTCTTGAAATCACTTGTTGTTAGAGTCGAAGACGTAAGAGAACTGCGTGAAAAGAAGATAATCTTCAGCAACCTCGAGACTGATGAACAAGTTTTGAAGGTAATAAAGGAAATTGATACTGGCGGAGTTCACAGTGCTCCATTCATAGATGGCGAAGTGAAAAAGAAAATTGAGGATCACTGCAGCAGCAAAGCTAGAACATGGATTGCTGAGTTTATTCACACTTATTTCCGCAGTCCATGGACTCTTATTGCCTTAATCACGGCGATTTTTCTTCTTTGCTTAACTGTTGTCCAGACCTATTACGCGATGCATCCTGCATCTCCCGCTCCTTCACATTCTCCCCGTTAAACGACAAATGTGTGCTATCTTCTGTTCCTTCACTCTTTCTTTTACTTGCATTTCATTGTCTTGATTCAATTGTGTCCTTGTGTGATAAGTGTGATGTTATGACAATGTTTTATTTCATTGACTTATTTAAACTGTGTTTGAGTTGCTGAAATTCAAGTGGATCAGTGTGATGTTATGACAATTAATGTTTCATATGATTTTACTGAGATAGAAAACTACTGTCGTAAGTTGTTGAATTTATTTTTAGAATCTGGAGACATAACTATGTTATCAAAATGTTTGTTTCATTGCCACTTCATTTGAAACACCATATTATATTTAGGGTAATTATTTTCACACCTTGATTTTTTTTTCTTCTTCCACATTTTAATTACAATTAAGGCTATTAATATTTATTCATTATAAAACTTATGTCCCTAACAATTTTTTGTATCATTCTTATCCTAAAACTTTTCAACAATTAACACATTTTGTATTTAATAACAATTTTATATTCAAAAATCCGTTGTAATAACGTAAAACAACTTATTTTCCTATCATATTTTAAAAATTAAATAAATAAAAAAAAGTGCAAATTTTTCCCCATTTCAAAGTATGAAAATAAAATATTTTGATATTTTAATCATCAAGAACAAGACGTACTAATTATTATAAAATTCAATATAAGAATTCGACGATGAAAAAAGTTAAAAAATAAGAGCTACAATGAGCAAAGATTAAGGAGTTTAATCGTAATTAATATGTAGTACATTAAATAAAATTCATGGTGGCAATGTAACCACCTTTATATTTATTACCAAGAACAAAATATGTTTAAGTTGCATACTTTCAAAGATGATGGTGAAAATGATGGTTTTTTAAAGAAATATTCAGTTATTGTCACTTGAAGAGTTGCGTCTTTGAAAACATGATTTATCCTTCAATCTTCACTTTGGTTCCAAAATGCAAACACTGTGTTGACGCACTAAAAGTGTAGCCCAAAGAATGAAACCCAATTGGGTAATTCAGGATAAAAGTCCAGACAGGATTATTAATAAATGCAGTGGAAGCCCACGAACGCAGTAACATCATCGTCCAAGCTTACAAGACGCCTAAGATCTGAGCGAATGGAATGCTTTACAGTCACCCAGAGCGACGACCCTGTTCTCGTCTATACTTTCGAATCGCCCAGGATCTTAGCAAGCATAAAATGTCAGGGTTATCCAAAAATACAGTTATTAAAGCAGTTATTGAGTAACCTTATCACGTTCCACGATTCAAGGAGTTCAGTTGAAGACGGTTGAACGACAAAGAGTAGTGGCAGCAATTAGAGACGGTAGTTCCACGACAAGTTAGCCACCATAAAGAAAGTGGGTAGTTATAAAGCAATCGAGCAGTTTCTAAACGGTTGATCACGAAGAAATCATCAAGGGAATATAAAAGGAAGAAAAGACATAGAGCAGAGGGGACCCCGAATCAAATACTCTCAAACAGAGAATATGTAATTTCAATTTCTTAGTTTAGACTTAAACATTTCTTTCAGTACTTGTGTACTTGCGCCCCTTGTAGGCATTCTGTTTAGTTCCAATTGTAAATCAATCGCCAATAAAACACCCATTTTTTGGACTTTGTCTCAAGAGGTTTGTTCCTTACACAATCGTGTGATCCCTTTTTAATTGTTAGCGACTACCCGCATGAAACAATTTGGCACGCCCAATGGGACCTTGGTGTTTGGTATTGAAGATACAAAAGGTGAAACAATATACCTCAGAAATCTGATAAGGAAGCAAGTCAGGGAGGAGTCCAGTCTGTGATCGAGCGATATGAGGAGCAGCATAGCTCTCCACGAACAGAGGGACAGAGTCAGAGCAGTCACAGTCGTTACGAACCAATGATAGAGTTGAGTCCTCGAACCATGCGTGCATTACTTGGAGAACTCACACGGGATGTCGTTGAATAGGTAAATCTGCGAAATATTCATAATATGGAAAGATTTACCTAGAATGGGAATGCACATTATGACAACATGGCCAAACAACTGAACACTCTGAATGAAATAATGAATAAGTTAGTAGGTCAAATTTGTCAGCCAGTTGTGCCTTTTGCAAATCATTTTCAAGCTAGGACAATTGTGGGACATAATCCCCCAGTCCTAAGTCCAAATCAAGGGATATAATCACCTTTTCGTCCCTCTACTTCAAACCAGGGGATGGTGTAATGCCAAATCAGAATAGTGGTAATGATACAGTTAACTTGGGGGGTAACGTAAATGTAAGAGATAATGTCCTAAATAATGGACAGAATGCCCCATGTGTTAATGAAGGAATAAATATTCAGGCTAATGGTAACAATGACCCAAATCAAGACAACTTTGTTGCCAACCAGGGACCAAACATCAGGCCTCAAGCAAATCAACCGATCAACCAACCTATAGGAATTCCATATGATCCCAACTTCATGTTGAGGAATCAAATTATGGAAATAATACAAGATCAGATGGCTTTTGGAGTACGTCCTGTCATTAGGCTGACTTACACAAAGCCATATCCTGATTGGGTAGACCAAGCATATCCATGGCCTAGAGGGTATAAAGTATCAGAATTCTCACTATTTACCGGTTTAGGAGAGGTGTCTACTCTAGAACACATAGGGCGATTCACACTGCAAAGTGGTGAAGTAACAAACTACCATAAAATGAGGTTGTTCCCTAGTTCATTAGCAGGAATAGCTTTGTCCTGGTTCATCAATTTGCCAGCGAACTCTGTTCAAACATGACAACAATTGGAGCAATTGTTCCATGTTCAATTTTATAAGACTGAGTCTGAAGTTACTTTGGCCGATTTGGCGAGTCTGCATCAAATGCCAAACGAATGAGCAGAAGATTTCCTTCAAAGGTTCAAGACAGCAAGAAGTAAATGTTTCGTACCTCTGCCCGAAAAGGAGTTTGTCAAAATCACTCAAAACTGTCTAAGTTTTGATTTGAAAAAGAAATTCCAAGACAAGGAATTTCCTGATCTTTTTCAATTGAGTGCAAACGTGATTAGGTATGAACGATTAATAAGAAAAGAAGAGCAAATGAAAAATTCTAGCAAGGGGACTTATTATAGAAACCCAAATTTTGATGTTCATGCCATTAATGACGAATATTACGATCAAGCCGAAATGTGTTTGGCCGAATTGGTCAAAGGAGACACGTATACTTGTCCTATAATGGCTAAGCCTAGACCATCAGACAAAGATGAGCCCATGAAAGATGAAAACATAAAGGCTAGAACGTTCTTGTTCGATGTAACCAAGACTGACTTTATATTTGATAAACTATATAAGGATAAACAGATAAAGTTGAGCGATAAACATAAATTGCCAAGCCCTGAACAAGTTAAGGGTAAAAAATATTGTAAGTGGCATAATGCATGGTCACATTTGACTAACAACTGTTTGGTTTTTCGCCATGTGTTACAGGATGCCATTGAATCAGGACGAATTACGTTCGC